GGGCTTATTAGAGAAAGGGGGCTTATTAGAGAGGGGGCTTATTGGAGAGGGGGCTTATTAGAGAAAGGAGGCTCATTAGAGAGGGGCTTATTAGAGAGAGGGTGGCTTATTAGAGTAGGGGCGCTTATTAGAGAAGGAGGGCTTATGAAAGAGGGGAAGGCTTATTAGAGAGGAAGGGTTTATTAGAGAGGGGGTGCTTCTTCAAGGGAGGGCGCTTGATCGAATCATAACGGTAAACAGGGTGTTCAGTTTATCGAATGCATAATTCTGTCATTTAGGTGGATACCTAGGCAAATGATGATTGCTTTTCTTTTCGAGAGGATTTTTTTTTAAGAGGGGGCTAATTACAGAGGGGGCTTATTACATCTGTTTCTTACTTGCCTTCGCATTTTATGGTTTGTTTCGTTATGGCTTAAGTGTACACGTTTTCTTCATACACCGCTTAGATTTACAGTTAAGCTAAATTATAGCAATTAGTAATACAATATAGTAACAACAGAGATTACTTACTTTTTTCTGTCTGTTACAGTTGCTGTCACCAGTTCGTAAATCTGTGGTCCAACTGATGAAGACGTACTCACAAGAAAGAAAGCTCTCTTATCTGATGGTAGTGGGATAAAGACAATCATAAAGGTAGAACTCCTATCTCATATTATGATATAAATTACTAAAAAGCAAAACTAACGCTTGGTTAGTGGCTGAACACCACTTTCAACCACAAGACTACATTTGCCCGATCAGTCTGATTCACGGAAACACCAAACTACCAAAATGGGTCTTCACTAGAAAGCACTGAAACTGGTTTACGAATTGGAAAGTCTAACCAGGAGACAATATATCGGTAGTTGCACAGGGAGCAGGGGAATTCACTCTATTCCAAACTGAATTCACCCAACAATAGCAACATGATTCAATTCGGTTGACTGACCAGCAACAGCTGCTGTCGCGCAACGGGTCTGTTGAAATCTACGGCAGGCAAGCGAACGTTTCCGCACAAGGCAAAGTCGAGGCCCGAGGTGCCGACAACTTAATGAGTTGGCAACCAACCAGTAATCTACTTGGTTTTTGACTTTTACGTTGGATTCAAACAGACGCATTTGCGGTCGCTTTTATTATCGGTCAGTAGCCCTAAGCAAATCACGTTGTAAAGGTGCAGAGAAATGAATGAAAAATGCAGTCATATAATAAGACTCCTCTGTTCTGTGCGGTTTATGTGAAATAAGAAACCTACCAGTAGCCACATTTCTTGTAAGCACGCTGCTCAGTTTGATGATAGGACTGTGCGTGGTCTATAGAGTAAACAAACAAAGAACGTATGATGTCTAAAATTCGGAATACAAGAAAAACTGTGAAAAGGTCTTACAAGACGTTACCTTTTCATTTAGATATCCTGCCTGGAAGGTCGAACTAAGACATTTGAGAACAAGCTTCTCATCCTGCTTTTGAAGGAGAATAAGCAAGTCTTCTAGCAACAGTACATGAAGATCTGATGAGAGAAAAAATTAAAACCCAACGTAAGCACTACAAAGTAGTCTGCAACAAGAGATGATTAGATGCCCACTTGTTCCAAATTATTTCTGTTACTTTGCTATAAAACAGATTTAAAAACCATACACAGAAAGATGTTGCTAAACAAACCTCATCGTTATAACGATTACAAAAAAACAGTGCAGACAAGTTATTTCAAAATCACTTATAATCATATCAACTAACCAACACACTTGGTTCTGTTTATTCTCCACGTAAGTGGACCATCATAAACCAACTTCTTTTGGGTGAGGTCCAGGTTCTAAACATCAAGGGGCGAAAAATTCAAAGGAAATATATAATATATAAATAAATATATAAACAAATAAATACGACAACTAGTTGAAGTAAACCGTACATCAAGTTACGTTATTGATAGAAAATGAAACTAAAAGTTTTGGAGGTTCTATTTCACTAATTCCTATCTATTTCCGTGGATACCTTAGATTGTTACAAAGTAACAGCTATGGCTTGATAAAACCTATAGACCATCGGTTTTTCAGTAAAAACAAAATGTCATTCATTGATTTATCCACACCTTAAACTCCTCCATAAGTTTGTTATTGGTGTTCTCTAGAGGCCTCCTGTCGATTTTCCTCTGAAAGTCTGCCAGTCTCTGCATGAGAAAAAACCGGAAACGTCAATCGTATCTGTTGTCATCAAATTACATGCTTGAGCTGGTCGGTGGCCATTTCAGATATCGTAGGTTACTTTTTTTTTTTTTTTAATTTATTTACTTTTTTTATATTTCCCGTCCTTTTCTTTGCTAATGACTGCATTCCAGTGCATGAAATAAACTTACACATACTACAGTACATTGTGTATGAGCCACTGATAAAAAGTAAGCATTTACAAGCTCCATGGTTTCAGACTTCAGATATCTGCACAGCACCTAACGTAAAAACTGCAAAACACTTCCCCAATTGCTGACTGGAGAGTAAGACTGGCGAAAATATGATTTCATTCTATGCCAAATGCCTCCTAAAGCCGGTTAATTACCACATTTAAGTAATCTACATTTACGACGAAAGACAGATGGAGAGATTGGCCATCTTACTTGTTGATCTTCACATTCCTTAACACTTTGGTTTACGTAAGCCAGCAAGTTCTGTAACAAAAAAAAAAAGAAAACACGAAATGAAGCGCCGTGCAACAACAGAATATGCATCCTACGTTTATCAATGTTGTCAATCAATTAAGTATTCCACTGCTTACTGAGGCTTCTAAGACTTCCCTCGAGTGGAAAATCACCAGCTCTATGTCAAGCGATACTCGTGGCATAAAGTGGTTACTTCCATAATTTAACTTTTCTCACTGGATGGTCTTTGGAATTGAAGTCTTAACTCAACGTCAATTCCGGGTAAGATTTACCAAAAATTCAAAGATTTACTGGGAGATATAACTTCAAAGTGGAGCTCGTACAACTCCAAAATGTCAAAATCTTAACTAACATCTCTTACCTTGGTACACTGTATTGCTCTCTCGATATTTCTACCATCTTCATGTGAACCTACGTAAAAATAAAAGCTTATTAAAGACTTGATCTAATCTTTGGTTCCAGTTTTCTTAACCTCTTCTTAAAAATTGTCACCATACATTATTTTATGCTAAGAAAACAACTGGACTAAAACATATTTCAATGAACATTCTTTTTTTTTTTTTTGGAATTCGTGTAAAGGGCTAGAGCAGCAAAGCAGTGAAATCAAAATATAGTTCTTCATCTGTAGAAAATGTCAAAGTTTAAAACAATGCACTTCGGGTTTACCCAAAATGGTGGTCAGCTGTTTGATGTTACGATCTCTAACAGTTTCTTGAAGTCATGGGGGTTATGGTCAAATCCCTGTTTGATCGACTATAAATTTTAAGTATGATAAGGTAGGCGAGGAATAATATTTGGCTGCGACATAAACAATTTTTTGTCTGTAGCAACCATACTTCAAACAGATTTCGGAGTGGCTACAGTAGTCGCTACAGTGACACGTACTTGGAGTATTTTTCTGTATGCCTTCCAACAACATCGGGTATTTCGTCAATCGCTGATAGCTGTTTGAAATAATATCTTGCAGTCTTAACCTCCGACAGAGAGGATCATTTTCACAATGCTGGATGAAAACAGGAAAGGCAAAATATCACAAAACTTATTACATAATAAACTCAAAAAATCAAAATAACCTCAGTACAGTGCTATAAACTCAGAACAACTCTATAAACTTAGTTTCGCTGTTTCATTACACATGGAACTTAACTACGAAGGTGGTAGTTGAACCATCTTTTCAAGGTACAAGTATGAAATGCACATACCACTATAAACTGTTGCAGTTTTAAATCTTTTCTCTGTCGATGCTGAAATAAAGAGAATCATCGAATTGTGAATACCTTAAATTAACGTAGGTTCTGATATAAAAATTACATCTTTTTCATTACTGCACATCTGTAGGTAACTTCCAAGAAAAAGCAGAACCATTCTAAGTGCAGTCCTTTCCCAGCTCAAAGCTTGGATTGCTAGCATCGCTGATGTAAAATCATGTGTACAGGACCACAAACGGGTGAAAAAAGGAAATCGTACGGTACAGTGTCTTCAGTATTGCTTTACAGTTCAGTGCTTAGTTTGCAACAATCTCCTCCATGATTAACAAACTTTTGATGTGTCTCTAGAATATGTACAAGTGAGTAGATTCGGAGGCCAATGTATTAGGATATCTTTCATCTCTACCCCATCACAGTGAAGTTAAGATGGTTCTTCAACACGTAAAACTTGGACTTGATCCACTAACCTTGAGCTGCTCTAAAGCAAATTTCTGATGGTTACAAAATTGTGCACAAGCCTCTTTTGCTTGCTCACCAGGTTCTCCGTCGAACTGGAGAGAGAAAAAAAATCCAAGATTAAAAAAACCATTTCACAAGCTAGATTTACGAAAGATGTAGTGGACAACAATGCCTCCCAAAATGACTACATGATGAGAAGAGTAAATAAATCAAGAACAGTACTAATCAAATCCATAGCAAGGAACGTCCACACTACAAGAAATTCCCTTTTGAGAATTACAACTACAACAACAATAACAAAACAAAAATTACTCCATAACAGGGAAACTTCACGCTACAAGCCTTGACCTTCTTGCATCACAATAACAACAACAAAAACAAAACGAGGAACTAAACAACAATCTGTACCAAAGAACGTACACTTTGTGGGCCTTACCCTATCGAGCATAACGTCTCCAATACAAGTAATAACTTCATCAGATTCTTCTTGTCTGGCCATCATGCTCTGCATTAATGACACTACAAGGAAACACAAAAGACCACACAATTATATTTTTTATACTCATCCGCCTTGAACTTCTGCAAGAATGTTGCACTTCAACATCAAAACCTGAGTACTCATCTAATCTAGTTTTAATTCAAAATATCTCAAGACAGACACCTCAAATGCATCACCTTACTGAATCAATAAGAAGCATGGATTGTAACAAACTTCGCTGATAACAGTTACACGTGCACTTGAGATGAAGGTGGTATTGCATCAACTCAGCTTATTGAAGTGAATACTGCGCATTTGATTGTTTGGGGGAAGGATTCTCGTGAAACAAAACTTAAAAGAAACTTTTTGCTTCCTTACCATGAAGTTGAATCAAAGCATCCAAGTTCGGAAAAAGTTGGTGGATTTGCGTATAAGGCATAATATTCATTTTTATCATGGGTTTGTAGAAAACCTGAAAACAAACAACACATTTCAATGTAAAATCATCTACTTTGGGGAAACTCGTCACTTAATTCTGCACCTCCTTCCCAGGCTCTCCCTTACCCCCACCTCAAGGGTTAAGACGTAGAGAGAAGATAGAGCCTGGGAAAGGGATGTTAAATACTAGAGAGGAACTTTGGAGACAGTTTACATAACATGCAATTACGCTTCTCTCACCTTGCTAAGGACTTTTAAATTTCTAACGTGAGTTCTTTCAGTGTAGATAAGCTCTGGTAGGGAGGAAGGAAACAGTTATAAAAAGTAACAAATTAACTTAAATCTAGTCTTTTTCCATCTTTATGACATCAGACAATTTTCCTTGTGGCCATTACTGTAATTCACAGTTTGTACGAGTATGAACTACATGTGCATTCAGATAAATAGTAAAACAGTTAGCAGTTCAAAGCTTCTGCGGCTTGCCACATGTTCCAACTTCTCGCTTATGTTGCAAAATTGAAAGAATATGTTTTAAGTTAATAATTACCATGAATGAATTCTTGTCGCTTTATTTCTTTTCCCTTTAACTTCCTCAGAAACTATTGAAGGAAGGAAAAAAAAAAAAGAGAGACAACGTCCACTACCATTTAACGCAATTCGGTACGTAACTAGATAACTTTCAGTCTTCTCTTTTTCCTTCCAGTTCTCAGACGAAATTGCACGACACATCCTGTCCTATTCATATTTCTCATCACCCTAATCTCATCTCACTTAAAATACTCGACCCATACGGGAAGAAAACAGACAACTGCCTGTCAACTTAAAAACTTGTACAGAAATCTCTCCATAAACGACTTAGGGGAATGATGTATACATTAATACAATACCTGCTGGTGCAGGAAGGACTATTTGATTTGTCTCAATTAAAGGAAACCTCCACCAGAGGATCAAGTTGCCATCAAACTGATGGAAATGCTCAGTTTGTTGTCAGTTTATCAAGATTCGGTAGAAATTAATGAAATAAGACCTTAAATGTATAGAAACTAGAAACAAATGCAAACAATATTGGCGTTTGAATTTCCCGGTAGGCGCCATATTGGATCGAATGCCGTAATACGGTAGGCCTTTTTTCATGCAGACAGTAGAGGCAACAATAAAGCGTCCAACTTTGAAACATGACGGCGCGCAAAAAAATCCACATTCAAAAACAGGCAAAATCTCTTTCGATAGCTTCTCACTCTAATAACTTATTTCCCATTTTAAGACCATTGGTTCCTGCCATGGACGTTTCCTTAAGAACAGGTTAAGTACCTTCTTATCTATAACTTGTTGCCATGGTGTTGGTTGGGCATCTACTTCCATGTCTGGGTCCTACATCAAATAAACCATTGATCAGCGGATGAATCGTATCAGTTGGAAAGCACTGCACCACAGCTACATTATGAATATCATTTTACTGTCATTAAATGTCTGCTCAGAGAAATGTGGTCACACTTCTCTCTAAAAGTAATCTTGCAATGGCTTTTCATGCTCTCAACCAGCTGGTTAAAATTTTATCCAATAGTATGTAAAACTCTCCAAGAACAACTCCCTTTAGCAAATTTTTCTTAGGACAACACACCTTCTTTGTTTTCGTAATCTCTAAATTTTTAATCATTTTGTAAAACAAGAGAGATGTTACAATGGCAGAACGTGTATGTACATACCCCATTGCTGCCTAACGTTTGAAGCATAAATATCAAACAATTAAAACCCCGTCCAATCTTAAAATGATAGACATTACACTTATTACCTAGTAAAACATTTAAAATCTCCTCATAAAATTTTCCTCATATAAATTTCAGAAGTAAGAACTAAGCTTCCTAAGAAAGGTTTGGGGGCGAACTAGTAAAGGTGTGGGTGAATTTGTTTTACGTTAAGGGCGAACTAGCAAAGGTGCCCTGGGGCGCATCTCTCCACAAACGGAAACCATTAATATATAGATTTAGCCAAGCCTAAAAGCGGAGCTCGCATTTTTTTTTTCCCGCACGTCTCAAGGGCACAACGCCTTGCTCCGGCCGGACTAGAACCCTGGTCGTCCGACTCGGAGCCCAGTACACTGACCACTGGACTACTCGACAAAGCCGTGGCGTTGGCGTGCCCGCGGTACAGTTGACCACGCATGGTAAAAGTAGCACCTTGTACGGTCGCACGGTCGTACATCCAAATTTTTTCGGCTTGATGGGTTATTGCTATTTTATATAATTATGGGGCTACGCGAGCTCCGCTATAAATAACGATGTAAAAGAGAATGAAAGTTCATAATAGGGATCATAACTTACCGGTTCTTCTTCTGGGGGCAGAAAAGAAGGAGACCGTGAGCGGGCACGTCTCCCTGATAGCAAATAACACAGATTAGATGTGGAAGTACAAACAAAGGGTGATGACGGAAATCATATGCTAATAACTTCGTTTAAGTTTACTTAGCGTTACCAACAAAATAGCAGTTTTAAATGAAAAACTTTTTATCATGTATTTTAGGTAAAGATATCAAAATTATGTTTAACTTACCAAGAAAATTGTCGTTTAAGTTTCTTAAGAAATTATTTAACTTGTCCTGAAAACAACTTTATCAGATGCCTATTCTACACGAAAAAAACTTCTAAGAGAAAAAACATGAAATTTCGGTATACATAGGAACTTATAAAAGCTTCCTTGACATCATCTCCTTAACCACAGGTTTAAAGGTCAATGCACAACAAAAAGTACGATTCTTCCTCTGAAGGACCCAACTTGCTTTCTTTTGAACTCTTCCTGTCTTTCATATGAACACTTTTTAAAAAACTCACCTTGAAATTTATACGCAGTCACATTAAAAAGATCACAGAGTGCTAAACAGTGCTGCTAGGAAATGCTGCAATCATATCAACATTTTTCATGTGTATGATGTTGTATGTAAAACAAATGTATGTACAGTGACCTGAATGCAGTGAATGTGCTGCCCTAGTCGAGACAACTTAACACCTCCTAATTAGTTAAGCAGGTAACAGCACACAGGTTATGACGCCCATCACATAGTCGGTTGATGGTATATTAAAACTATCTAACAGCAGAACTGTTACTTTGCTTTCACCAACATTAGAAAATCAAATGGATTAACCATTAAAATGGCCAGTGATTTGGTGAACCAGAAATCACTCGAAAAAGCCTGTATTTTTTGACTAGCTAAAATGACACTTTTTTCCTCTACAAAATCAAGCTCTGGATGACAAACTTTTGACGAGACACAGCCTTGCAACATAAAGAATCCTATCATCATATAAAGGTGCCGTGCAAGTTCAAGGCTGGTACTTATGCTCCTGAAGAAAAAGCATTTTTTAAAGTGTGCTGTTTGACAGTTCAGTTGATATTAAGTAGAATTTGCCACATAAAAGAGGTTTGTTGGATACTTGACAGGCTCTGAGGTTCTTCCCTGAGACAATTGTATCAAATTCCACGAGAACTCAAACTCAATCATGAACCATTTTCGCTTTAACCTCCATAAAGATTTCTGTTTTCAAACTAACCATTGCATTAAATCTAAAATTACTGACCCTAATAGTTAAATGCTTTCATATATTATCGTTACAGAGCCATAATTCAATTAGCAGCTGTTTTTCAGACAAAACTAATACTAATATGATTAATGTTAAAGTTATTAAGAAATTATTATTGGTGTAGTTTCATTGTGGTCGTGTGAAAGTGAAGGCTTGAGATGAATAATTTTATGGAAACATTTATGAAAGTCAAATGAAAGTCAAATGAAAGTCAAATGAAAGTCAAATAAAAGTCAAATGAATGAAAAGACAAAATGACACAGTTTAAATGTGCAATACCAGTAAAGGTTAATAGTTTCATTTAAAGTCATACACCCTTCATCTTTTCAGCATTTTGTTATTTTCATGTCCTCATGCACCAAAATGCATTTTTCCCAATCATCTATTAATTTCATCCACCTAATATAATTTTACTGTCTGTAACAGATAAATATTTAGTGAGAAAGCATTAAAAATGCAGAAAATTAAAGAGGCCAGAAATAACAAATTGCTGAAAAGGTTGTATTCCACAAACCTATAGAAAATGCATGTAACATAAAAAAAATTATCAATATGTAAAATAAGTTTGCATTGCGATTCAACAGTCAACATAAAGGAAGTGGTTAGAGAAAGGACAGTGTCACGAGTTAAACATGCACAAAACAACCTTCAGCATGAAAGGTGTTGATGACTTGAACTGCCTGGCTGAATGATGAAATGTTTGCAAAGTGTAACAAAAGAAAGGGCCAGGTCTTTCAAGAATTCTCAAATCTAGAAAGGCAACTGTTGGTGCATGGCTCACAACACTTCCCTCTTTTTTAACCCAATATCTATACCACAAAACATACCATCTTCAGAAAGTACATCCATTGTGGGAGGATCCACACCACTGAAAAATCAAACAAGAGCCAAATCAAGAGAGATTTCATACAATTTGGTAAGTTGATGCCATGCTTTTCAAAACAGCCACAACAAAGAAAAATAACAGCTGCACTGTTCATGCAAATTAAAAAAAAAACATTTGAAGCACTTACCGATAATCATTCCTAATATAGAATTTAAGAGAGGAAAAAAATTGTAAGTATCACTGGGTATTGTACAAGGAAACAAAGCACACATCTTGTTTGCCACACAATAATAATTTCTTAATTTTAGAGCCATGCTGGTTATGAGAAGATTACAGGGTGGAAACTAACTTTCTTCTATCCTCTACAAAAAAAAAGAGATATTTACAATTATTATGGCAAGATAGTCCTGAGGTAAATCTTAGCATTATGGTCCATATTTTGCCATACAGACTGTTTCCACAGAAACAATCATAAGTTAAGGATTTTGTGAAAATTCAAAATAAACACATTTAGTCCAAGTGCCATGTAATAAACTACTTACTAAACAAGCTTTCCTTGCCCTGTACTGAGGAATATTAGCCCTTGTTCGTTTTTGTATGGACCTTGTAGCAGTTGGTCAGTACTACCACAACCTCAGGCCAATATTGGAGGGTGCGACTTCATATTCAGTTAGTGAGAGGTTAATATTTTTTGCTGTTGCTACATACTTAAACAACTGAGACGGGTATTTAAGTCTATCTGAGTTTACACATGCAGACCACTTACACAGAATCCACAGGTCCTGCCACAGATTTTCTTATCCTCATATTCATTATCTTGTTACTGAATTCTCTCTAAACATCAAGGAAATAATATGTTACAAATACCATAATTTCATATGTTCAAGTGTACCTTCAAACACTTGCTTGGTGGAAACTACAAGACATATACCTTGCAAATGCAAAAACCTTAACAATCAACAAAATGTTGCTTTTTCAGCTGCAATAGACCACACTTTAAATCAGTGTACCGGTGTAAAAACTGACGTGCGATGCTGAGAGAACATACAAAAAGTTTGTAAATCATGAGCCATAGGCCAGTGATTTACAAAATTTCCAAACATAGATATCATGGCCAAAATAAAAAATAAAATCAAAATGGTTTCATTGATTCTTTCACTAATGTATATATATATATTTGTTTTTGGATAGTGATATTTTTTGGTTCTCAACATCCTTGTTACTCTACCCACTTACAGGACGTCTGAAGCAATAAGTTTTGAAGTATTTAAAACATCACCTGATAATTCACAGAGGAAAAGCAGCATATCAATAGAATTTTCACTAGAAAGAGGCCACTGAGGTTCATGCAAGTAAAAGTTCATGTACAACTATCAAACCCATGCCATTCGGAAAGAGATCTACACTGAATAAAATACTAGCTCTTTTAATATTTCACTTGTAAAAATAATGTCAAAAGATTACTTTACACATCAATGTTCATTTTTGGGGTTAAAATACTCACAGGTGTTTTCATACTCTCTGATCTTCCAACCTTTGGGAGGTGTGGTTTATCAAGAAACAGCTCACTTGTACTGCTAAACAAAAGCAAAATAAAGCAGACACCAACATTAGCAATGAAAGAGATAGATAATAATTTCAAATAACGCCACTTCATGATTTCAAAATAAATCTTGATTCATTTTGATAAAGCAAATTAGTAAGAATCCTTATAATGCTAACCTTTTGATCTTTAACATTCCCTCCTGAGAAACCAAATCAAAAAACACAAAACACAGTCAGTGATCTGTTAAATGTAAAACTTAATAACTCATAACATATATACCAACATGAAGATTAAGAGCATCTGAGAGTTAAACCCCAATGTAAAAAAATTCATCTAAAACAATTTTAAAATTTGAATTAGGAAAGTTTTTTTAGAGGAAAGTAATACTATTTTAAGATGCACATAGATGAAATTTACATCATTAAGATCCTGATCAACCTGAGCTACATGTACCCTTACTATGGGTGGGACTGTGGTGCAATAACTCTCTCATGTCAGGCAGATACAAATATCACACAAAATAACATGATATCCCTTACTGATTTACTAATAGTGTAAATCAACAGTCAAAGGCCAAAGCTCTCATTTGAATGGTACATTTTAAATCAACCACCTTGCCAAGTCCCAAATGATTTGTTAAAAAGATGTCATACTGTTCACAACAAAAAACAAGTATGATCCCTACTCTAATGCCCAAATGATTAATTAGTGACTACCATATTAACTTGGTATAAGCCGAACTTGCATAAAAGTCAACCCCCCATTTTCAAGGTCAAAGATCAGATTTTTTATCATTTCTAGTTAAAGAAGTAAAATTCAGGGGGATAGAAATTTCCCAAACAGTTAATCTCTTATTTCTGAGAATTAATTGAAAACAAGGTGAATTAAAAAAACTGCTGAGCAAAATGTAACCTTGTGTAATAAGACAATGCGAAAAAATAGCATTTGACAGGTCACTAAACTACTGTAATCATTCAATGAAAATGAAAGTTCAACACCATAAACAGCAGCAAAGCTGTAAGACAAAATGTCCATTGTACAGATCAGAAGACACAACAGAAGTCAGCTCCAGTAGGTTTGTCTTTAAGCCACTTAAAATTTATTATTCCAAACTTTTTCGCTGACGAAGAATGTGCTGAAGAAAACGAATGCCCTGACGAAACTCAAACACAACTAGAACTGGTTTTGTAAACTTGGTTTTCCTGACTGACTTCAGGCAATTGCTATGCTAATTTTTTAGATAGCTTGGGTCAGGTCTTTGTGTATAACTCATGTCTAAGTTGAGGGTGATTTTTTTAGTCAAAAAAGGTCGACTTATACATGAGTAAATATGGTACTTCAGAAAGAATAACTGGGAAACTCACCTCACCAGAACCAATAAATCCTTCCCTATGAATCAAAATTTAAATGTGGAAATATTTAGGTTGATGTAATCTAAATCTTCCTTGATGTCTTTACTTTCCAACATCACTACATCAAGTAATAACAGTGATGTTAAGAGAAAAGACCTCCATTTGCTTAACTATTCCAATTTAAAACCTGCCAATGACAAGCACAAAATGGGGAAAATAGTGATACCCAATCAATGAAATAAACACTGTTTCTCCATGGAAAATCTCTTTTACCTAGAAATTACTGCATAAAAATTACCCTCTCTTTAACCAAAAACCTAAATAAACACCAAATCACAGAGCACAATCAATGAAACAAACTTTCCACCATTTAACACAAGTCTCAACAGGAAAAATCTTGTAGCTGGGAATAACTTACTGAATATTATCCTTCACTAAACTTCTACCAAAAATCAGAATCTGCTGACACTTTCCAGTTGGAAGAATAATTGTGTAAGTTTGAAAAGTACTTTGCACCCTGCTGAAACTTACATGAATATACAATGTTTCTAAAAGTGAACCAAAGCCAAAATGAATTGCATATGAAGAACTTGAAATTACCCCACATCATCACAAGCTTCATTGAACACTTACCTAGACAGGTCATCTGCAGTCATTCTAAACCAAACAAACATATCAGTCAATAAAAAAACCACAAAAGAATGAGTCTAAGCAATGAGACTTGATTCATGTACATGGCAGCAAGCTACTACAGTCACACTTAAGTATCACAAATATGAGTACAATTGTGTTCTCACCCTCTGTCTCTGCCACCAGAAATCTGGAAAACAAGACTTTGATTAGTAAGAACAGTGACTGGGTTATAGGGCAAAAGGCAATTAAGGGAGAGAGTTGAAAACATTAGACCAATCAAACTTGTTACTAGTTCAATAAAATCATCCCCAGGGAATTTCAGTTCCTTTTAAGTGATTCTGAGTTGAAAAACCAGATGAGTATACAATAGTTTAGTTTTCTCTACACCTTCAACTTCACGCAAGCCTTTCCTTTATTTAGGATTTGAATCTTTAGACAGATTCTCTCTACAGAATAAAGGTTTCAAAACCTATTGCCAAGAACAGTTGCCAAGTATTTGAATCTGTTCTGCAACTTGTTGACAAACCTTTGGAAATGAAAGCAGAATAAGAGTTTTGTATGGCTCTAATTAAAGAGCACTGATACTTACCAGATCTTCATCAAATGAACCACTCTTTTTCTTGTTGTGCTCTACAGAACAAAAACATGAAACATATGCCTGGATGGGTCTTTCAACAGTCTCATATTCACAATGTGGCAACAGGGCAAGAAATTGGAGAACCCTGCAGGCAAACCCGACTAAAAGCTGTTTTGGGAACAGAAAGGTTTGGTGCCACAGGAGAGGAGGACTATTAGTTTTGTTTGTTTGGTTTTTTTCATATAGCTATTTACTTAAAAAATTAAAAAAATACAAAGAAATAAAAACACACTCAGGTTTAGTAACTGTGACAAAGTCCAATTTGTAGTAAAAACATTGTTAATTTCCCTTGTGCAATTTGTGCAATAAATAAAGCGAATACTGGTGTATTTAAGATATGCAGATTAGTATTTACTTCCCCTGATACATACCTGTGTTTCCAGTGTCTGATTCATTCTCATCATCATTTTCTGGGTTCCAATTTTTCCCCCCAACTACATAACAAAAAAAAATTCCATTGCTCACATACAACTATGGCATATTTGGAAGGTTTTTTTTAAGCTGTCTATGGGAAGAGATGCAATCTTTAGATAGCCTAATATATTTTTTAAGGATTTATCTGCCAAATATAATCCTTCCACCCATGAGCCCCTAAATATCATTACAAAATGCCTCCATTTACTCAATAGTTATTCCTTGTCTCATTTACCCTTCCTTCCACCCTTTCTCTCTCCTTTTATTAAATAATTGACCAGTCTGTAGTGTGGAACAAACATTATAAGAAAATGAAGCCTGAAGCAGTTTTAGTTTAAACATTCATCATGGTACCACTTTGTCATGAAAACTCAATCAATCCAACAATTTCTCTAACTACTATCAAAGCACAAAGAATATCAAAGTTATCTTTTGTTTTGATTTATAAGTCCTTGAAATACATGTCACTTACAAGGAGATGGCCCCACTGGTTGACTAATTTTCCTTGAATTATTTGCAAAGGACGGTGACCTGCCAGTTTGAGTGGTAGGTTTCTAAAAGAAATAACACAATAAGTCACAGCTCATTATTGCAAAATGCTGCAGTTATTATAAAAAATATTTTCAAAGCAGTCATACTTGGACATTGATAGTCTTAGCTGGAACTGAAATAGACATTCAAACAATTTTCCTTAAAATAAAAATAAGTGTTAAGTTAATAATTGCATTAACAACTTGCATCTTCATCCTGTTCATCATGCTAACTGGGATAATCATATGATAATCAGATCCTAACTGAAAAAGCAAAGATTATCCATAAATTGGATAGTGCTATACCCCACACCAACAAAATTTAACTTTGAACAAATTTCCTTCACCAGTCAGAGGTTTAAATCTTGCTTTAGACAGTCAACAAATCTTCTGTGAACAATAAACTAGGCTGAACATCTTGTCTACTTCACTCACCCTTTCCCTTTTTTTCTTTGTTCCTGGACATTCCTCAATTGTCTCAAAACAGCTTCCTTTATGTACATTGTATTCACAAGCTAGTAATTGATCAAAGACAAAGGCAGTATTCCATAAAGAGAAATCAAAACAGCATTAAGAGGGTGAATTGGCAATGTTTTTATTAGGAGATATGTTCTCAAGAGTTTTTTTTACTTTTGTTAAGAAAGTTTCCAGGCCCCTTAACTAAACAACAGGGGCATTGGGGGAACTTAATAGCTAAAAGTTAATATCAGTTCATAACTGGCTTCCAAAAATTAATTGAGATGTTTCCCTCTTCCACTCAAGGATTGGAATTTCCATGGCTAAAGGGATTGATCTCTTTCCTTACTGAGAAACTTTGAAAAAACTATGTTTTGTTAAAACTAGAGGAGAGCTGCATATACTTTTCTAAACTTGCACTTTGAAGCACACAGCATGTAATGAACTGGTGAATCATTGTTATTTTCTTCATCTTCCTCAGTGGAAGATCACATAACTACACATGCTCCCTTATGTTTAATTGCATCAGTTCCAATCATTGAACATACTTGAGCACTGGTATCCTTGGTCTCCAGCCCCCCACAGCAGGTAACCACAGTGATTGCAGTAAGTTGGAGTTGTATACTGTGTACTAACAAAGTGGTGCCCTTTCATCTGCCATAATACAAAGTCAGTTATTAATCAAAGAACTCCCTGGGAAAGGCCTCAGAGGAAAAGAGGATTAGGTATGGAAACAATTTTTTTGTTTGTTCAAAAGCTTCCTTTTAGGTCTCCAATTCTGCTAGTACATATCAGCATTTCCCTTATTCAAAAACACTATATCGTATTGTTTATAAAGCTGGTAAAAAAAGCGATAAAAGACCACAACATTAAGCAGAGACCCAATATAAAATTATGTGTTTGAAAGATGCTTCTTAAGCTCCATCAAACTTTCAACTATGAAAATGATTTACATAAAGTGAGAGAACAAGTCAGGGAAACTAACTGGAAGTCTACCTGGTAAAATGATGAAAGATAAGAAACAAGGGGTGGAAGTGCCTTTCTAGGAAAGAAAATTTAACTATGTCTGAAACAATGAAAGTTGTGCCTAGCAGCATGCATTTTGCTTTAACTTTAGGGGTTCTCTTTTTATTCATTATTTTTTCTTTTCAAGACATGCTTGTTTCAGTCTGAACATAAAAAATACAACAAAAATGACTGAAACAGTAAAAGCAGTACATTAGATTTATGCTGTAGTAAGGATATATTATCTTTCTTTAGGCTCAGAAGATTACATGTATGTGATCCCAAACTCAAAGAGACCAAACCCCTCTGTTTTTCGGCAAAAACCAAGTGACCAATCTGCCCCCTACCATTAGTTATTCAATACAACTTGCACAATTAAAAGATCAGTCTGGTCACGAGGAGAGTTACTTTAGAGAGGCTGAAGACAGTGATAGCTTAACTTCTAGAATTGCTTTACACTGCTTGTTTATATTCCACACAACACTAAATTATAATTGCCAAAGAAGGCAACAAATCCCTAAATAAATAATTCTTACCTTTTTATTTGATTTCATCTTGAATAATGGTTTGTTCTCTTTTCGAGTAAAGCTTTGATATCGTTCTAGAATGTTTGCATTGTTTCCTTGTTGCTGCAAAACCAACCAAAATTAAAATGTACCCTTAGAAAGAAAAAAAAAATTATAAGCTGCTACACTAAGCCAGATGCAGGAAGACTGTACTGAAGTAAACCTAAAACAAGACTTAACAAAATACAAGATTGTCAAGGAGTTTCAACTTGAAAGGCAAAATGGTTAGAGAACCACCCTGCTCCATGTTTTGAAATTCATTCAGTGTTAACATGTTTACAGAAAGTTGGAATGCAGCTAGCACCACACGATTGAGATGAAAGGTGGTTTGTCAACGGCATTGCCTCCATAAGAAGGTAAGCAAGCCATATTCCTTGCCTACCAAGATATTTACTCACATTGGAAGTATATGAATGAGGGTTGTGGTGCCCTGGGTTTTGAGGGCCATTAATCGTATACAAGGAAAATAAATGGCCTCATCCTACCCATGTAACATTTATGTAGTAACCTTACTTTTCACTCAAACAGCAGCTTATTTGCCTCATATAACTTACCCAATTGCCTCTCAGAATTTGAAACAACAATAGCCATTTCAAACACAAACCCTCTAGGTTGAGTACTACATATTACAACTTGCACTAACCTTCATGGTGATTCCAACCTGTCTTAGAAAGGTGGTAAGGGCTGACACCATTGCATTGCTAAGATTCAAAGGACACACTGATCAGCAAATCATAGAAATTTTTTAACTGTAACCTGTGTATCACTCACATTTTCTTTTATGTTTAAGTTTTTATGTAGTTTCCACAATCCCTCTTATTTATGGGTTAGCATTGGCATTTCTCTGTTTCTCAAAATCATTTGACACAAAACCATCACAGCTTCCAAAAGTTCACTTACTTCCTGTTTACTTGTGAAGCATCTGTATTTGTCTCCAACTCAGCCCTTGAAAATAATCATAGCTTTTTTAAGTGGGAAACTGATCAACACTTTACATAGGCTGGATGGATTACCATATTTACTTGTGTAAATGTTGAACTTGTGTATAAGTCGACCCCCCATTTTCAAGGTCAAAAATCAGATTTTTCATCATTTCTAATCAAAGAAGTAGAATTTTGACAAATAGAAATTTCCCAAAAAGTTAATCTCTTATTTCTGATGATGTATTGAAAACATAGGGAATTGAAAAAGTTCAGAGCAAAATGTAATTTCGGGTTGTAGATAAGAGCTGGCAGCCTGTGAAATAGGCCAACTTCTCTGCAAGGTTTCGTCAGCTACTTTCATTGCTTCAAGATCCCGTACAGAGATGGTGTTAATCAGGTCTAAACTTGGGCTCAATAAAAATATAAATTGCTGCGGTGGCAGGAAAGCATGAATGATATGATGTTTTGTCTGCCATATTGGATTTCAAGACCCACAACCATTTACCTTTAAAAAAGCTCCAACTACTTAAAACCTTAAAGAAAACCCTGTAATCATGTGCTATGAAGTTTATTAGCACTTGTTTATATCACCACAATTTAGGCATCCATGGGCCCTTCGATTTGCTGGAGAAGTATTTTACCATATTTTGTGAATCACATTGAAAATGAAATCTTCTTGCATTTAACCAACCTTATTTTAATGTTGAGATTGAAAGGAGATTAAGTAAACCGAAGAAACGCCAAAGAGCTTCAAAGGATCTCATGTAACAAACCAAACTGTGCGAGACAACGGCATTTGCCAAGTCACTAAGCTACAGAAATTGTTTGATGAAAACGAAAGTTCAGCACTGCAAACAGCAGCAAAGCTTTTAGAAAAATGTCTGTTCTACATTCTGAAGACACAGTAGAAATCAGTTCCAGTAGCTTTGTGTTAAGCCACTCAAAATTTATTATTTCAAACCTTTTTTTAATGACGAAGAAAGTACTGAAAAGTGAACACAATTGTAACTGGTTTTTTAAAATCGGTTTTCCTAATGGACTTCAGACAATTGTTATGCTAATTTCTTGGATTGATTGGGTCAGGTCTTTATGTATGACTTGTGTATAAGTCAAAGGTGATTTTTTAGGATGATTTTTTGGTCATGAAAGGTCGACTTATACAAGAATAAATACAGCACATGTAAACCAAGTTCCGTGTTGTTGGCCTAGTAACACATGTCACAGATTTATGGGTGCACATCTAGTGTCCCAGTAGGCTAAGTAAATTGTCACTTACATTCCGTATAGGATACAAAATAAAGCGATTGAACTTACAGAATCTCCTCCAAATGGGGCATCAGAGTTTGCTCTACTACTTGCAGTTCCTTTCCTTTGTCCATGTTGTCATCTGCAGTAAAAAAGAGTAAAAAACATTTTATTATACACAAAATGGTTTGATTTAAACAATGCTTGCTTGTTTGCATCTTCTCTGACCTATGCAAAGAAAATATATAGCAAAACTTGACTTTGTTATCAAAAAGTACCTTCCAGTTGGTGGTCTCCAAACAAACTTCCAAGACCAAGAGCTCGTTTATTCCTAAAGTCCTGTAACAATTCTTTTATTTCTGCTTCAGCAAAAGTCCTGTTGAACAACAAAAATAAATATGTATCTTATACAAGATAGCAACATTCCCTTAGAGCCTATATGTTTCACTAAATTGTGTAAAAGCTCCTGCCTTGTGAATATGTATGTCCCCTTCAGAGGGATAAATTTATTCATGGCAAAATTCCCTTTCCATGACTTTCATTAAATCACTACAAACCTAGTGCCTGATTTAATCCCACCATACAACTTAGGGGTGCTGCCTTCTCTAAAGCTATTCTGCTCTTAAGGCTAAAAGCACTGCCAGCAACAGCATTGTGCAAAAGTAATGCAAACTAAATACCGCAAATTTCTGTTTTTGTTCTAATAATCTTTCATCCAAAGTTCTAGAGAAAATTTGATTGGAAGTTTGAGGCCTTAAGTTTTAAGCAAAATTTTGTTTGAACAAAGAGTGATTTGTCATTTCAATTTTCATCATGAAACAAAAATTTGTGGAAGAAAGCCTCTTTTTGATCAACCAAAATTTTGCTTTGATTTGACAATGGAAATCTCCAAGTGATCAAGTTTGTTTATCATTCATGTAGTGAACAAGAAATAATTCCAAATAAACCTCCAAACTTTTTTTTCAGTCACCAAGACACAGTATGATAACAACACTTTAAATTTAAGACCAAACACAGGAGACAAGGACAAAACATGAATAAAACATCACGTCCGATTCTGGGCTCAATCTGTGTATGAACACGAAAGTAAATAGAGTAAACTGCCCTAAACATCTTACAGAAATTCTGACCAAGATACATGTATTTGGCTGAAATTATTTCCCAAAGGAATCCAGATATTTTGCACATCAACTTCATTTGTCTGATGTTTAAACAAAGAAACAAAAGGGAAAAAAAAGCTTAAACCATCACATCTGATTCAGAGTTCAATCTCTTTACAACAACCAAAGCAAATAGGGATGAACTGCCCCAAACGTCTCACAGCAATTCCAACTAAGAGATAAGTATTGATAGAAATAAACTCTCAAATGGTTGGAATAGTTTTGCACATTAACTTTTCACCAGACAGAGCAGAGAACGTGTCTTGAGCGTTGTCAAATGTTTGCAATTGAGAAATACATTAGTTGTTTATTCAATCTCAATCCCACACAATTAAAAATCGCCCATATCACTGGCTACAGTATGCTCTCCAGATATCACAACACAATGTTTGTTTAGAAAATATTTGTTCTTCACAATTAAAAAAAAATTACCTTCAGAGTGCATAAATTAGCATTAATAAAAGCATATTTGAAGCAGACGCAAAGAAAAGTGTGTGAAACAAAGGTTGCAAAATGAATGAATGAATGAATGAATGTGTATTTATATACCGCACATATCACATACTGTCTCAAGGCGGTTTACAATTCTAATTGAGTGAGATCGAACGTCAGCTTGTAAAGGCGCCTCTGGCTGCCGCTATCAGTCCATATTTGATCTCACTCACCCACCCAGCCCATGCATGAAATGTACAATGAAACAACAGATAGACCACCACACCGGGAACTACGCCCCCTACTCTTTTTGACAAGTATGTGGGTTCTTTAACGTCCCCTGCTGACCATGTAACACTGAAGATGCAGGAGACGGGGCCTACGGTTTATAGTCCTTATCCGAGAAGACTTGAATGTCTAACCATTTGCTGGTACAATTACAAAGGCAGCACATTCTCCTCAGTTATTTTAAGACCCTGAGTGTTGGTCCGGTCTGGGGCTCGAACCCTTGACCTCCCGCACAGCAGACTGGCGCTCTACCAACTGAGCTAACCAGGCGGCGGCAAAATACTTTGACTTTCACAACAAAACACTGAATAATTAGTGAGAGGCGGCTGACAATAACAAATTGGGAAAGTGCCACTTCAATTCTTTCATTCGATCTTGGTCCCACACAATTAGAAATCACCCATATTGCTGGTTGCAGTATGCTTTCCAGATATTACAACACAGTGTTTGTTTAGAAAATATTTATTCTTCACAATTAAAAAAATTACCTTCAGAGTGCATAAATTAACATTAATAAAAGCATATTTGAAGCAGACACAAAGAAAAGTGTGTGAAACAAAGGTTGTGAAATACTTACACTTTCACAACAAAACACTGAATAATTAATAAGGCGGCTGACAATATCAAATTGGGAAAGCACCACTTCTACTCTTTTGGTTACATTGGCCTATTTTTGTGTAATTTCTGGCATATCTTGCCAATACTGATTTTACATTGTTCTCACATCCACACAACATCTTCCATGCCCCAGCAGTGATATGTAAATCTGCCATGGAACCATTAAAATGCAACTCTGTAATGATGTGCGTGATAAGGGAAAAGCTTACAAGTAACCCTAATGTTTCAATGACTTCAGTATTTCAGGCGTGTGGAGGCCTTGCTTATCGAGGACCTCAATTTTATTTTTTTTAAATAATTTGACTACCAAAAGTAGAGTACGTAAATTATCCTAAATGCATTGACACAACTAGTACACTGAGCATTGCGGATTGCAAACAACATAAGTCACACAGAGACTGGAATCATAGCGGAAATTCCCATGCAAGTTTTACATGAAGTAGTTTACTCTTTTTATTTTCATTTAATGCAAGTTACCATTAGAGAACCAGAAGAACAAATTTCCATTCAAACTGTGAAGCTTCTGGTTGTTTAACATTCATTAACAAAGACACAAACACATAGAGAAATTTGTAGCTCAGACTCATGGGCGAACAATTCAGTCCATGGAATTGATTTCAACATTTTTCTCTCCTGCATTACACAGCAACAAACTACAAATTCAACCAAATCTTTTAGAGAAGACTGAACAATAACAACAAATTTCCGTTACAAAGATTCACCCCAAAGAACAAAATTAATTTTCCCTCAAAATTTTCGAGGTGCATTAATGCCTTCAATGAATATTTCCCCAAAAGTTCAAGCCGTTCAAATCAATACATGGCTCAAGAATTCTTCAAAAAGCTGGGAATTTCATCAGCAGGTGTTTGCATTACTTTTGCACAACAAAGTATAATACTAGTTTTGAAGTGAAATTTACCTTGCATGTTGAAACAAGTCTTTGGTGATTTCTTCTGACCTGAGACAACTCACTGAAACATGATTTTGAAATGTACCAGTTATTGTATAAAAAATTAACTAATGTTGCCAATGAAAATTACAATTGTTGTTTATGTTAGCCTAGAAAAATAGAATAACAGTGCACA